TACTTATAAACCATCCCCTCTTTGCTCAACCAACTGCTCTGGCTTTGCCCTACATCCCAACCTTCAATCCCCATTCCTAAGCAACCCAAGTCCAGCCTTGTCCCAGAAATGGGGCAGAGCCAGTCCACTTTCCACACCTTCCTGCCATTCTTCACGCTTGTCTTCCTTGCTCCCTCTGCCTCAAAGTTTCTTCTGTCCTTTTTTTTGGTCTGCTGGATATCTAAGCCTCCTACAATTATTTGACACTAATATGGGCATTATTCCATCGGCATTATTCCACATGCACTTCTCTCAGAACTGATCAGTGTATACAGTATCCAATTCAAATATGTACCCTTGACTTGAGGGGCAAGGTAACAGGTTATTGAACTTCAGAGTAAAAGGGCAAAAACCATCCCTTTACAATCTCACAACCTGGACAAAAAAGCTACAGGTCAACATGTGGCCCCTTCTGACCATCATCAAAACTATCATCAAAACTTAAATAAACAACCCAACTTAAGGAAAACCGGAACTGTGCATACCCTAGTTTAGCATGTGTATCACTAAACTCTTCTCCTTCATTACATAATGTGAAAGTTTTAATCACCAGATAACAATGGGCTGGTCTCTTTGACAACTTTGAAGTATGTAGAACTGATCCAACTGAAAAGGATGAAAACTATTAGCTGAGAGTTCCTAAATCAGTGGAATTTAGAAAAGCAAAGCCAAGCTATCTGTGGCTGCTGTTCCGGGACATTCAGATCCAGACCTGTGAAATGGCTGATGATTATGTAGAGCAGCAGGCAGGACGGGCTCCTGAGAAAAGTGAGGCTTTGCTTCTTTATGTCGGAGGTCAAGTGGAGCCTGGCAAGTTAGTCGCCCCAAAGTAGCTGCCAACTGCTGCCATGTGGAGTCCGGGGCTTGTAAAGATGAATCCAGATCCTTCCTGTAATGATACCACACCCGTGGCCACTGTGAAGTCATTCACTGGCCTTCACTTTCAGCATTCAGATGTGCTGCGGCATCCACTTTTCTTTTTGGTGTCCAAGAGCAGTAAACATATGTGAACACATTAAACAAAACTTTCTTGACTACCTAAGCTCATCCTAAGAGCTGCCAAAGCAGTCTTCACAAATATCAAGAGCTCTGAATGAGAAAATAACAAGTGATGCTTAACAGGTAAACAAAAGGGCAGCCTACAGAAGAGGTCATTCCAACATCATCATGATCACATGATTAGAAGACAAAGGCCATATTTACTTTATTTTCACATACAGAGTGATGTGTGTATATGTGTATATCTCTGTGGGTGTGTGTGTGTTTATCCATATCTTTATGCATATAGATCAGGTCAAACACAAAATTCTAAACACTTGAGAAACCTACTAGGATAATTTAATGAGAATGCTACATTTTATCCCATAGGTATAAATTATAACATCTAATTTTCATTATTAATTTTTGGTGGTAACCTCTGCCACCAGAGAACTGTACTACCACTTAATAAGACTAAGTTTATTCCATGACATAGTACAGTGTTAAAAACAGAAGGCAACAGTTATATTTTGTGACTGTTCTGTATGCATTAAATATCTTGTTCAACGTTCACAACTCAATTAGTTGATACTGATGAGGAAACTGACACAGAGGTATCAAATAATCTGCCAAGGCAAGGTCATACAACAGGTCATAAAGATCACACTCTACCTCTAAGTTCTTCATTCTACATTTGTAATGACACTTCAAATGCACATCTAAAAGGGGAATATAACCTAAAATATTTAAATTGTAAAGAAAATGTGTTCACTGCATCGATGTTTAAGAAAAGAAAATCCTATAATACTCCCAACAAGTTTTAGTATGCTTGCCAAAAAAGTAAAAGGAAAAAAAAATGAACTGATTCCAACAAGTCTATAATATCATTTATATTTAGAATGTGAGCTGAGCTAGGCAAGTGTATGTAATGAATATATATGTACGTATGTCTCTCTGTGTATATAACACCCACATTATTCAAAATCTCCCAAAAATGTGGAAAGTTTGTTCCAATCCTTCTCTATTTTGTCTACTTTAAGAATTCTTTGCAATATGCTTATGTAAATACTGAGTTTAGCTGCTGTTCTCATTTCTCAAATCTTCTGCTTTTTAATGAATTGGAAAAGTGACAGACCTAAGCAGACATCCTGGAACACAAAACCAAGGAGATATAAACAAATACAACCAGATCAAAAACAAAAGTGTCTTCTTAAAACACTCTAACTCATCACTACTGATACATCAAAAGAAGTGAGAAAAAGTAGAGTACATTGGCTTTGGCTAAAAAGTAGGTGGATGAGAGTATGAGTGTACGTGTACACACACACACACACACACACGTACATATATTAACACATAATGGACAACATTTTACCCAAGTTCACTTAAAACTGTACAGGAGCATGAGATCTAAAGGAAGAAAGACTCTGAAATAAAGAGCAATGCCGGGACATGGACAGTATTAAGGCTGCTAAGCTCAACAGGTAAGTGCCTTCAGTTTTCTTAAAGAGTTCACTTTATGGTTCAATTATATTAATAGCTCACTGACTCTGTGGGTGATTTGCCTCCATCTGCATTTCAAACAGATGCTGAAGAAGATTAACGAAATAGTCAAAAATTCATGTCCCACTTACCTGATGCTAAGTCTTCTTCACAAACAGAAGTAAATGGTTATTGTGCTATTAAAAAAATAGTGCAAAGAACGTGTTTGCAAAATACTACAAGTTGTGTACATACAATATCCACATAAAAGTGTGAAACTTCACAATGTTGAATACTGGAAATTAAGTATATGTAATACTGCGGGAATGAAAGTTGAAAATGAAAGCACTTTTGATGAAGAGTTGGCAACAGTTATCAATGGATTTTGCACTTTGATAATACAACAATCACATTATTGGAAACACATTTTAAGTAGGACATTTTTGTCATACTTGAGAACTAAACATACATCTGGTATATATCTTCTCCATGTAAGCTAATAATATGACAGATTTTGATATAAACAAAGTCAGTCTATGAGAAATTTTACCAAAACAAGGAAAAGCTATTACAGTTATTCAATGTTGTCTGAGTGTAAAAACCACTTTATACTCCTAATTAAAGACTCTATGCTCATAGCAATGTACTAAAAGTAACAAAAAGCAAAACGAAAATTTTTACAGATGACTCTTCTCAAGGTAATCACATTGACAAAATAAGCTGGACTGGGGCACAGCTGTGATCCCAGCTACTTTGGAGGCTGAGGCAGGAGGACTGCAAGTTTAAGGCCAGTCTGGGCAATTTGGTGAGACCCTGTCTCAAAATAATCTTTTTTTAAAAAGCCAGGGATAGGGCTGGGGATGTGGCTCAAACAGTAGCGTGCTTGCCTGGCATGCGCGGGGCACTGGTTTCGATCTTCAGCACCACATAAAAATAAAGATGTTTTGTCCACTGTAAACTAAAAAATGAATATTAAAAAAATTCTCTCTCTCTCAAAAAAAAAAAGGGCCAAGGATATTAATCAGCAGTAGCATGTGCAATACCCATTACCAGAAACAACAACTACAATGTTCAGTCTAGAAGTGATCAGGGTTGAGGTAGTAGTTTTGGCTTTGTTTCTGCCGAGGAAAGCAAAGGGGAGAATTTGCTTTTTGGATGGAGAACAGACATCGTCAACCTTCAGATTTTACTTCCAGCATCTCAACCCATATCCAGCCTGGTGTGAAGAGATGACAGATGGGACCACGTCTGTTCTTTCAACTACTGAAGCAAGAAACTGAATGTATTCTGCTTGTTTTTATAAGCATGAATATTCAGTCACAATAAGTAGGAGCAAGGGTAAGTGTGCCAACTATATTAAGCAGGTCCTAAATCATCGTTATCCTTTTTCTCCTATTATAGATTAAGACAAGAAAAATAAAATCAACATCTAGAAAATACCATTTCTGCCAAGCTTGGAAAAGACTCATTATTCAATGAAATGATGCTGGTTTTCATACTTTTAATGCAAATGTATTGAGTGAAATGTGTGAACAGAAGAAAAACCAAAGTAATTTTGTTAGGGGGGGGAAAAGTTAAGAGCAACTAAACTGAATTGGCAATTATTTTTTTACTTCATTTTTTTATGCTTTCATTATTTTCTCAAAAAATAGTAAACAGGCATTGCAGTCTCAATGTTCATGATTAGCACACACATCAGACTCCTGTAAGTACCACAATAAACTTATACACGGATCCATTCTCCTGTTGTGTAAATAATGCCTATTTGTCATTCTTTAACACTTTATCTTGGAAAGGATTACTGAAACCAAAAAGGATAATTTTGCTATAAACAAACATAAGGAAGGAATAACTTTTTTTTGTTGTCCATAAAAAACATTGGAATAACTCCATGTCACTCTACCCTTAATCTTCCCCCAAAAGACAGAGAACAAGGTCCAGAAATAAAATAATACAATTCCATTTGCTAAAATGAGTTTAATGACTGTTAAAAGAAAACATAAAGGCCACCTCCCCAGACTGTCAGTGAAAAACATCCATTAAAATTCCACCTCTCATCAAAAGTTTTTTTTTTTTTTTTAAAGATAATTCATTGTATATACAGGAAAGTTCTTCAAGAAGTCTTGAAAATGAATGAATACCTACCTCAATGCTCCATTCAAATCCTGTCCTAGTCAGGACACCCCTCAATAAACAAACAATTATGTAGCAAAAGTGGCCTAAGCAATTGGGTTTCCCTGTCTCCCCTGGCACTGCAAGATGTGGGGAAAACATACTAGGTGCTTAGGAACCAGCAAGACATCTAAAACTGATGATCCCCTAGGGTCCAACAGGTAACGACTTTTAAAAATAAACAATTCCCAATAAAAAGACAGAAATCAGTCTGCTCTTTAGGATTGAGAGGGGATTTCTTAGATTTCTGCACATCCTAGTAAGCATTCATTCTAGAAGTGAATCAATGCCAAAGCAAGGCCCACATGTGGGAGTTGAGATAGACTTACGAAGTAGCCTGTTCCCAAGCTGGAAGGAGCTGAACTCTGCAATAAAGCATAAAGACAAAGTGGAAAATCAGCAATGGTTTTTAACATGTTTCAATCCACACAGCTCATTACCAGCCCTCTGCAGACTTTTCATCACCACATCACATCACCAGCGCGTGCTGCCCCTTGTCATCTGCTACTGATACAAACACCGTGTTGCTTAATTTCCCCCTTTACATCTCTCAACAACTCAGAGATGCTAACGTGCTATTTACTGAATTCCAAGCTTCTGCGGTGGATGTAATTGCCAATTTATTTGACAGGCAGCTGGGTAATGAATTAATGATGGCATTTCGCCCTGCACTGAGACTAAACAGACACGCATCAGCCTGCCTCCCTGACTTGCTGACATTCAACGCCCTGGTCTCAAGCTACTAGGTTTTGTGGCCACAAAGGGGCAGGCAAGAGGAAAAAAAGAAAATAAGAAGCCCAAGGGGCTTGGATGACTTTTCCAGTGTGTGACCTACTTGCCAGTTTAATCCCCAAAGGCACCAGTTAGTACACACAGAGTTCTTTTCAAAAATGAGACATTTTGTAAACATAATTAGTGACCAAAATGCAAAGAATGTGTGGGTAAAAGGAGGTGGTGAAAAGCACAATTTTTCTGAAGGTTTTAGTCAAAAGAATTATCAATTTGGACTGCCATAGTTCTAACATACAGGGAACCCAAAAATCAATTCTGAAATGAATGCAGGGTAGTATTTATTTGGAGAAAGAAACAACAACAACAAAAAGGAACACTGTGTTTCAAACCTTTCTGAGGTTCTGTTTTTTGTTGTTTTTTGATTTGGGTTTGGGGGGGGGATATTTTTGTTTGGTACTGCTTTTTGTACCAGAGATTGAATCCGGATAAGCCTTACCCCAGTACTTTCTATTTTTTATTTTGAGAAAGGGTCTCACTAATTTGCTGAGGTTGCCCCTCAAACTTGCGATCTTCTTGCCTCAGCCTCCAGAGTTGCTCTGATTACCAGCATGTGCCACTGCACCCAGCTGAGTGTCTTTTCTTTTTATGTGCTTTTCCTAAAACTTCTCCTTACAAAGTTATGCCCCAGCCAGGCCTTGTGTCTCATGTACCAGGTCAGGTGTTCCACCTATCTGGAGCATCCTGACCTCAACCCTGATGCAATAGTCTTTCCCTTCACTTTTATCTCTTCTACCAACAAGTCTTGCCTCTTGGTCTATGAACCACAGGTAGGAAGGACCAGCAGGTTTATCCTTCTTTGTTTCACAGCACATCACAATGTCTTGTACACAAGATGCATCAAGTGAGCATTTGTTGAGTCAACATATGAATAAATGAATGGACAGACTGTATACAGAAAAAAGGCTCAGGAGAATTAAACATCCCCAAATACATAAGATGTGATTTTTTCTCTTTTAATTCTAAGCTATTTGAGAAGGAAAGATGGAGTTGTAACTGTGTCCACATGGAGCAAAGATAGCACTATTCAGGGCATTACTAAATCGGGGTCCAGAGAACTTTCTTCACCTCAGTGTTTCAGACAAGCTCAGAGCAATAAGGCAGCACAGACATGGTCATGCATATTGGACTCAAGTCTTAGAAATCCTGCTCCAATCCTGATCTCATAGCAGTATGAAAAAAAAAAAAAGATTCACGGTAGTCATGGAGACAGCCTCTCACACAGTGATTAACCATGTGACAGTGTCACATGTTTTCAGCACTCTCAGGCCTCCATCTAACAGGTGAAGGCAAAAGCCAAGTTAGGTCTCCACCAGCCTGGAGTCATGCCCCTGGGAAGTAAACTCATTTTAGGATGAATTACTCAGAGAGAACATGGGATTTGTTTATTTCATTCACCCTGCTTCCTGCAAATGTATTTTATTCCAGAAGGAAAAGTACCCTTCCAAAACCACCTCCCCACCCCCACGTACACATCATCTTATTGTATACCAAAGAAAATTACATCCTTCAGGTCTAGGAAAGCTCTGTTATGCTCATTTTGCATATATATTGTACATTACTCAGGGAGCTAGGTGGAGAAGAGGGCTTTGTTGTGCATATTTGTTCTGGTTGTTGTTTATGCAGGTCTAACTGAATGAGGGAACAGTGGGTATCATTTCAATTTCTGATGTCAACATCAAATTACTTATTTAATTTCATGCCTGGTGAAGCATTGTATAGCTACACGCAGAATCATTTCACTTCATTTGTTATGCTGTGCTTTCGTGGCGATTGGCTTGCCTTCCAACTGACAGCTTTAATTACGACATGAATTTGATTGCACTGCTGAGGAATTAACATAATGCAACAAAGCATTTAAGCACCCTGCCTTATAACCCCCTCCCACCTATGAGCACAGACAGACACATGAAGGAAAACAGACACTAGATCCTCACATATGTTAAAGGTCTACTGGAATTTGCTCCAGCATTTGCTAGAAGCTATATAGAACCTCAGAACCAGAGGCTATCCACATTTGCCAACCCTCTATACTCACCATTTTCTTTCTTTCTTTCTTTTTATTTTTTTTAAGGGAAGAGATTTGCAGCATTCTGTTTTGATTTCTGATCCTGGCAGACAACTTTATCAAAACCTGTCTTCCATGCTACCTTATCAAATGTTCGGGACACTGGCATTTCCTCCTGTCTTACTCTTTCCCCACCTCTTTCTTGACTACTTGCTAGCTCCCTTCAATTATAGCTGGAGAATTTGAACAAAAGTAACATTTATGAAATAAAGAGATGTCTCTTTGTTCAGTCCTTCAATTCCAAGATTCTGGCTATGGCCTTGTATTCCTGGGACACTACTCCTGATCACCAATAGGAGCCCCACCATAAAAGTATGGATATAAGAAGTTACCAGCAACAGAGAGGCCAGGGTATAACTGACATTCATAACAAGGATCATATAACCTAGGAGCTTTGCTATCAAAAAGTTCCAGTAAAGCATCTTGATCAAGTATGCTCAATCTAAGTCCCCATCTAAAAATACAGCTACAAATATTTGAAAACTTCAATAATTTAACAAATCAGAAATTACACAAGCACCTCTAAACCACAGGCACCAACATACTATGCTACAAAAACAAAATAAATGTTTACAAACAACATTTTTATAGTTGAAGATTTATTGTTAATTATTCATTTATTGACACATATTTAGAAATTGATACTGCTTTCTCATGTTACAGGAGAAGTCCTAGAAAGGCAGATAGGCAGTGGTACACTATCAAACACACTGCAGAACAATTCTTCACTGATAAACTTCATTTTAACTTTCTGCCCTCCCCCATTTCTAATAAGAGAGGGCTTCCATATTTCTTGCCTGAAGACCTTAACTGTGTACAAGTTATACCCATTCTAGTAGGTGTAGAGAGGTATCTCCTTTCAATTTTGATATTTCGCTAATGATTAATAATTAAGACAATTTTCTGATGCATTTACTAATATTTTCAAGTTATTACCTATTTTAAAAATATTTTTTAGTTGTCAATGGACATTTTGTTTTATTTATTGATACGTGGTGCTGAGAATCGAATTCAGGGCCTCACACATGCTAGGCAAGTGCTCTGCCACTGAGCCACAACCCCAGCCCAAGTTCTTCCCTATTTTTTAATCAGGCTGTCCTTTAATTGTTCAGTTGCAGGATTTCTTTACATATTCTGGACATTAAACACTTATCAATTTATATGATTTGCAAATATTTTTCCCAGTGAATATATTGTCTTTTCACTTTCTTGGTAATACCCTCTGATGCACCAAAGTTTTAAACTTTGATTATGTCCCATTATGTCACCACTTCTCTTCTATTGTTCATGCCTTTGATGTAACATCCAAGGTTTGAAGATTTATCTCTGGGTTTTCTTCCAAGAGTTTCACTGTTTATGCACTTATATTTGGGAAACAGATCCATTTGAGTTTATTGTTGTTCATGGTGTGATGTAGAGATCCAAATTCATCCTTTTCGAGGTGGAAACCCAACTGTCCCAACAGCAGCTTTTGAAGAGGAAATTTTTCCCCCATTGAACAGACTTGGTATTTGGTATGGTTTAGATATCAGGGGTCTCCCAAAAGCTCATGTGAGAGACAATGCAAGAAAATTTAGAGGTAAAATTATTGGGTTATGACAGACTTAACCCAATCACTTTATTAATCCACTTGAATGGAGTTGCTGGGTCATAAGTGTAGATAGACAGTGTGAGGCTGGAAGAGGTGGGTCACCAGGGGCATGCTTTGGGGGTATATATATTTTGTCCCTGGTGAGCTGAGCTTAGTCCCTCTCTCTGATTCCTGATTGTCATGTCCTGAGCTTCTTCCCTCTGCCATACTCTCCCACCATGATATTGCCTCATCTTGAACTCAGAACAATGGTATTGGCCAACTATGGACTGAGACCTCTGAAACGATGAGCAAAATAAACTTCCTCCTCTAAAATTGTTCAGGTCTTTGGGTCACAGCAGGAAAAAACTGACTAAAACAGTAATCTTCTCCAAAATCAGTTGAACTTACAAGTATGGGTTCATATCCAAAATTCTCAGGTCTATTCCATACAGACTATGTATATGTATATTTGTACACATTTGTGTGTGTGTGCACGCGCACACGCGCGCATGTATGGCAGTGCCTCACTGTTGTGATTACTGAGCTTTGTAGTAGCTTTTGAAACTAGATAGACATGTCCTCTAATTTTGTCCCTTTAAAAGATTATTCTGGCAATTCAGGAGCTAAAACCATTCCATATGCTTTTGAGGATCTGCTTTTCTATTTTTGCAAAACAAAAAAGAGAATTCTGATGGGTACGATGCCGACTCTGTAAATAGCTGATGGTAGGTAGTGTTGACACCTTAGTAATATTCATTTTCTCTATTCGTTGACATGGATGGTCTTTTGCAAATTTTTTTGAGTTAATGAGAAGTGAGGTCAGAGTAACAGTCAAAAGATCTCAGTGACTGTGCTCTTGTCTCCTCAATTGACATGGCTTTCATTTTTCCAATGTAAGAAGAAAATCTGACCAAGTAACTTGGGAATAATTCTCTGTGCCAATAAGACCTCACATTAAAAGCGTAACAAAATCTCAGAAGGGAAGTACTATCGTTAACAACTTAGGTTTGGAGATTATCATTATATACTTCTATCACAAAGTTAATGAAACATAAGAACACACACTAATATATTCTTACACAAATAATATACTCATATTCAGAACAAAAGACTGAGTTAGTACTCAGTAAGTTAGTATTCATATAAATGACATTATGCCACATTAGAAGTGGAGATAATCAACTATAACCAACTTATTTGAAATGCTTTGCTTAATTCACTTAATTCTTATAAGAAGTTGATGTTCTATACACCAAATTTCACTCTAAACATCACAAATTTTCCCGAGACACATAGGAAAGTGGCTGTGTCTTGGAGTTGTCTGCTTTAACTGAGAACGAGATGAATGTAGTATTATCATAGGGAATGGCTGAGTAGTCTGCACAAGCTTTTACACTAGCCAGTCTCCTCTCAGTAAAAAGGTTTTGAGCATACATTTCTAAGATACACATGTTTAAAAATTACATATCAACTATTCCTGCTCATTACAGTGAATATTAGTAAAGTTTAACTTTTCTCTCATAAAAAATAAGCATTAACATTTTTTCCTTTAATGTGATGGATAGTTTGCACACTGTAATTAAACCACTGCTTTCAAGCAGATAGGAAAAAATAAGACTAGAGATGAAGGATTTTTCTCCTCACTACACATAATACCTGTTGCTCTTTGTCCACATTCAGGCATTCTGAACTGGTCTCTTTATCTTTCATCGTATTTCCTTAACCTGCTAATATTGCCTTTGTTGGTATCAACAATAAAAATTTCTCTCCACTTGATCCTTTTACAATAGTTTCCATGTCTTGCTCTCAGAAACAAAAATGGGCAAAGAATGGTGATATATGGTGCATAAGGGCAGAAGGCAAGGTAGTCCAAAGAGGAACAGATGGTTCTCAGGAGAACAGAGGGGAACCAGCCCTGCAGTGGATGGGATGCTGCAGAAGGGTTAGTGCCAAATCTAGCAGGTGATGGGCCCCTCCAGCAGTACAGTTTACTCTCATAAGGTCCCATAGAAATCCATCATTAAATGTAATTCCTTCTCTTACCAAATAAGTAGCTACTTCTTCTAATAGGAAAGAAATGACAATAAGGGATTGTTACTGATTTCCTAGGAGAAGAAATGACAAAAGGCCAATAGCTAAATGATGTCATCTCCTAGTTATGATACTGCCTTGACCGCTTCATTTGTTACTAATAAAGTTATTATTTATGAATAATAAAACTGTTACCACTTCTCTTTGTAATCTGTTGTTTCTAAGGTAATAAATATTCCCAACTACTTTATAATTTGTTAAAACACATTTTAGATCAAACTACATTATAGAATAACATCTACAAATTTTAAAAAGGTACATACCAAGAAAGTGTAGGCTGCAAAAACTTGGGCACACAGCCTGATCTACAGGGGAGGGGTGGTTACTAAGTGAGGCTGGAAGCAAGACTGCACACTGTCGTGGTTTTGTTCATTTTTTTTATTCAACTTACATCACTGAGCCTTTCCCGGGAGCTGCTCCGGTGGAAGCCCTTGGATTCTCCACTGGCACTCTCACTGTCACTGTCCCTGCAGCTGTTCTGCCCTGGCTTGAGCTAAAGGAAAAAGAAAAGAGTGAAAAGGAAAAAGTCAGTGGTATCCTCACATCAATATTTCTTAGCCCCTCATCTTCAAGCCCTGTCAAGAGGGAACAATTTAAGGTGTTGATCGTAACATTCTCTTCAGTTTCTGAACACTGCACAGCAAGATACCATGGGAAGCAGGGCAGCAGAAAGTAAGACAGGCAGAAAAAATTCCCACGAAATGGCACTATAGAGAAGGAATGAACAAGCCTTGAACAAACATCCCAAAGGCCTAACCTGGGCCATGAATTGGGAAGTAACCTCTCAGAAATTTTTCTTCTATTTCAATGTGATTCTCCTTTCAATAATAAAAAGACCAAAACATGGAAGAAACGAAAGCTAGATCACAGCAACTATGATTTCCCACTCTATTACCCGTTTTCTTCCCAAAGAAACAATAAAACAGGACAACAAACAAGGTTTCTCTTGCTAGGAAAAATGATGTGAGGCTGTGAGGCTGCCCTGTAAGCACTGAGAAGACATTGCTGACATTGTTTGAAACACACTCTGGAGGTCTTTTGCAGGGTTACTTAAAAGTACCAATTAATGCCTACAACTTCAGTACTGAAATCAGTATTCATTCAACAAATACACACTCAGTGCCACCACGGGGCTGGGACCAGGTGCTGTGGATACAGTGCTAGACAAAATAAGAAAAAAAGAAAGGAGAAATTTCTGACCTTATCAAGTGAACTTCATATTCGTATTCTAGAACTTTCCACACATTAGCCAGCTCTTGACTTTTACTACCAGGCTCTGATTTTCCTTTAAAAAGGAATGAACACAGAGAATTGAAAATCACTGGCCCATCTAAGTCCATAAGTCACACATACATGGAACAATGGTCTATGATGCCATCACCAACCACATGGTTCAGTGATGCAAAGACACGGGAAGCATAAATTTACTAGATACAGCCCTTTACTATGTCTGCATTCTAGCAAGACAAAGATAAATGTAAATACACAATGAAATAGTTACTAAATGCAAATCAAAAAAGTAGCTGGTGACAAAAGAGAAGTGGATATTTTTGGAAACCCTAGATTTTAAAGAAGGATTTGGGCTCATTTGGGTGACAGGAAAGGGAAAGACAACTTTTTGGTGGTACAAAAGCAAAAGAAGCATCATTCAGGAAAGGGTCAGGAGTCTCATCTGAAAAGAGGTCCCGTTTAGGAGAAAACAGGAAGACACAGGGGTGCATGGATGACAACATAGACAGTCTCCAAATACAAGCTCAGTTTTTCTAGATATAATGGAAATTTAAACAACAAAACAGTCAACAGGTAGCAAACGTTTACCTATAGGTTTCCAAGTAGCTCTGGAGCCAAGTGTGAAAATGGAACCAAGATGAATGGAGAATGAGTCTGAACTAACAATGTTGTACCTTTAACAAGCCTCTTATATAATGCTCAAACCCCTTATGGTGGCACTATCCACAGAGAGCTTCCCCACATCCCACAATACAGCATTATTTTTTTCACTTTTAACCAACCTCTCTATAAATTCATTTTATTACTTTCTTCAAAAATCTCTTCTTCCAGGAAGTCTTCTATAATGGAGTACATAAAGCCATGCTGATTTTACTTTCTTTTCCCCTGAGCCCTAAAATGCTTAATTTTCTTCCAAGCTAATGTTAAACTTTCTAATTCTAAGTTAATTTAAGTGCAAGACATATGAGCCCTTTCTTATTACTATGGGATTAAAGGACAGGTATTGTCTTTTCAAATTTTCACCTTTATAAAACATACAATATAGAGAGTACTTTTCTAAAATGAACATCACCTTCACTCAATCTGAAATTCCATGTCCCTTCCTGCCCCATGCTTTTCCATATCAGACCACTTCTGTCTGGAATGTTCACCCATATCCACTCTATGCTTCTGTGATCAAGTTGTTTTTAAAATTTCAGATCTTCTCTATTATGATCTTTGAAGAGCTCTTTCTATATTCATTTTAAAAAATATAACTTCAATGTTCAGTTACCACATCATCCTTCAATAAATGCCTCTAATAATTATAATATACTTTCAAATCCCCAAAACCTCACTGATATAATAATTACACTGATAAGAAACTCTGTATGTGGTGTGGGGCCCCCTAATTCATAAGTAATACCAAGAGCTCTTGTTTTACAGTGAGTGTTAAATATTGTGGATAGAACTATCTGCAGTGTATGGATGAAGAAGCAGAGAGCATGTGCTGTGCTTAAAAGTAGGCAAAATCTAGAGCTAAATTAACCTATGTTTCTACTACCTACTGTTCTAATTTTCATTTACTTACTTATGGATTTATTTTATTTAATCTTTCTTCCCCACAGTACTAAGGTTTGAATACAGGGTATAGCACATGACACACAAGTGCTACTCCCTTAGAAGTCAATTCCCTTAGAAGTATCTTACCTATGAGCTGTATCCCCAGTTCTCTTTTAAATTTTGTTTTGAAAAGAGAGCTCACTAAATTGCCTAGTGAGCAAACTAATTGCAAACTTCCTGCCTCACTCTCCTGAGCAGCTTGTTAGGCGATGTTCATAAAACTTAGCCACCCAACTTAAGATTCTCGAGAAATATACATCCAACTAGGAATTAAAGATATAGGGGCATCCAGGCTTTTCCTAATATGTAACTGGCTTATCAACGCCTGGACTTGGGGCCTTTCCATGCCTCTTCAAGAAAACAAAACGTTGATCTTAATAAGGTTGATCTTAATAAGACTTCAGTGGCCCTGATGTAAGGAATCTGACTAAATGCTTATCTAGGTTACGGAAAACACCAAAGACTTGAGAAAGCAGCTTGCTAGCATTCTCAGTGCCCTGCGAGCAAAGGCACACAAGTCAATTCCCTTAGAAGGGTCTTATATAAAATCCACCAATGCTACACTTTTCTCCTCCAAAGCCAGGCTCAAGTTTAAAGGAAATTTAGGATTTTAAGCTGTCAGACAGCTCAATATTTCAAAGTCATAGACTGACTATAGTAAGTACTAAAGCTAAACCACAAGATTTCAGGCAAGACATGTTCATTCCTAATCCCATGAATATATTTTAAAATTGGCATTTTTAGCCACATTCAGTGGATTATTTGGAGTAGCACGACTAACTCAGAAGTTGTCATCATTTACCTGAAATTCCCAGGTATAACTGGCATCGCAGAGACATTGCAAAGGCCAGTGCTGGCTTAAACACTTAAAGACCTTAGGAAAATTCATCTGTCTGCACTGATTTGTCCAAGTATCTCTGGCGGCACTTGCTATCACTGATGTAACTGATTTCTTACAATCAGCTATTAGATACCTCGGGCATTTGTTTATTATAACCAATTCTCTGATTTGAAAATTTTTACCCCACCTGAATACTACATAGTTCAAGTACCAGAATTAGATCAAAATATCTACAACAAAAGGTAGACAGAGCTAGTATCTGGCATAAGTGACAGTAATACTATCAATTAGAAACTTCTTTATAAAACTATAAGTAGTCAGTTGTTTTTTTATTAGATTTCATTGTCAACAGCAGTTTTATAATAATGCTAAATACAATGCACAAACAGTTTCCATTATAGTACTAATGGTATTAATGGTTAAGTAGGAAAATAACAATCCATTGTTTTATCACTGCAAGTAAACATCACCTTGAACTGCGTAAGAGTGAAGCAATTCTGTACACATCTATAAGAAAGTGGGAGTCATTCTTTTTCAGCACAGGTATAGAAAATTCAAAAAAAGGTGCTAGATTTGCCCAGAAGGTGTCAATGATCCATTAAAAAAATCTACAGAAGGATAAATTATGTGGAAGTGATATTTATGCCCAGAAATTATAAGTTCTGCAGTGAAATACAAAGAAGTGTCCAAAATTAATCTTTCCACACTTCCAGTTCCTCAGAGCAGTACATATCCTACTTTGAACTATTGAGTTTTTCTGTATAAATCTAAATGAACTCTTTTTACAATATTTGAAAATGCATGAATAAGCTCAAAACCTTTCTTATTGTCAATGAAAAAACTTAATTCACTCAGACTTTACTCCCACCAAATCAGCATGTATTTAATCTAAAAAACAGAATCTAAAAATTAGATATTTTTCTTTGTCAAAATAAAATTGTCTCCAAATGGGAACAGTTACATGGATTGGGTTATATTTGAACTCTTTTATTCCTGAAGCTTTAAAGGGTATATTAGATAAAAGATCCATGAACCAAACTGAAGTACTTAGTAGAAAAGCTGATTTATCAAAATTAAGCTAACATAATAATGACTATAAAAATTATAAGGTTCAATAAAAATATTTTTTTCAAGAAATTAAAACTAGCCAGGCATGGAGGCATGACTGTAATTCCAGCAAGTAGCAAGACTGAGGTAGGAGGATGTTAAGTTCGAGGCCAGCCTAGAAACTTAGAGAAAGCCTGTCTCAAAATAAAAATTAAAAAGGGTTAGGGGTATACAGTTCAGGGGTAGAGTGCCCTAGGTTAAACCCCAGTAAACACACACACACACACACACACACACACAAAGTTAAAATTACATTGTACTTTTTAATGCACAACAGTTCTGTATAAAAGCTAAAAAATTATAGACATTAGACAGAGCCAAGAACTGTGCAAACTTTTCTCCACAATCTTATAATCAGAGCTTATGTTGTTTATTCAATAGTTAGAGAAAGAGTTTTAGGTATTTGATAAACTAAAAATAGCCATCAGTAAGATTTAAATATTAAAAATAACTGCCTTAGCCAGGCATGGTGGTACACACCTGTAATCCCAGCAGTTTGGGAGGCTGAGGCAGGAGGATCGCGAATTCAAAGCCAGCCTTAGCAACTTCAAGACTGCTCAGCAACTCAGTGAGACCCTGTCTCTAAATAAAATACAAAATAGGGCTAGAGATGGGGCTCACTGGTCAAGTGCCCCTGAGTTTAATCCCTGGTCCCCCACCCCACCCCATCCCACCACCACAAGAAAAAAAAAAATCTGCCTTAGGCTCCATCA